CGCGTTTTCTTGAATTGCTCAAGGCCGGTTGATAAATCAAGTCAAGTCAAGGAATCGCTGTATACTCCCCGAAGGGTGGATGTTCAACAACACATCCTAGGAGATTACATACAATCTCCTGCATTTATAGCTCGAGCGAGCAACTTTTGTTGTTCAAATCAGAAACCCAAACAGATCGATTTGGCGTTCCAGTTCGTTTTATGCTTCCATAAACATAAGATTCATTCTTCTTGTCTTCGTGCCGGAATGAATGACCGATTTGTCCATCCACATGATCGCTTAGGTACTACTGTGGGTGCGAACGCACAGATTATGTAACCATCTCCATTTCGCTATTCTCGCTGTATATTACCTAAAGTATTGACACTGTATGCTTCGGGCATTTGATGAAAGCATTTATACCACCAGCTCTGTTTAAAGCGGGTTAAAAAACCAATTTATAAAGTCTTCACTGATTACGTTCAAAACAGATCGTACGTACGGCAGTTTCAATGCATCTCACCAGAAGTTGGTTCTTTCACCAAGAATCCAACTTAATGACAAATATCTCTAATTGTACAATAAATCCAAGGCCACATTCCCTGCCTGGAGTAAAAATTAGTATTTGGGGACGTTGTCCTTTATTAATTCAGTAGATTCCTGGTTAATTTGGTGACTAATGGGAAATTATGAAGACCAAAACCGGTTAACAGTTGGCCTACATCTAAAGTTTGATTCCTCCGGTAGAGAGGCAATGCCATTTTCAATGATGTCACAAACTTTTCCTGTCGGTTATAATCAGTATTTAGCTCACATCTGTTCCTTTAGGTCATTCTCCTGACCTAATATCATGTTTTCAGACTCACTTCAAACAACCAATGGTTCCTTATTTTCGTGCTGAAATTCGAAAATAGCATCTCTTTGTTAGAGACTGCTTGTATCTTTGGAACGATAGGAAACGTCTGTTGTCCTACACACTATCGGTTGAAGTGTTGCTGTACCACCCAACTCCGTAAACTATGACAGAGACTACGCTGGTCTACTCAAGAAAGACTTCAAGATTCTTCGTCGCGGTTTTTCGATCATCAATCGTGTCTTTTATACCCGTTGATGAGCTATCTAAAAAACTGTGTGAACTTCACTTGCCCGCATGTGAAACATTTGCCCAGAAAATCCTCGCTGACCCCAACCATCCTTTACATGGCGATTTATCTAAATGCTGCTCTCATACGTTTACACGTTCTTCTTATCGATTATTACCCTCTCACATTAGTCCCTACAGAAATTCCCCAGCTCCCTATCTTGCCAGAATCCTTGTAAACCGAGAGCGCGCTTCCTCAGAATTTCTCAGTAACCTAAAGGCTAAATATTTTACTTGTATCTTTCCTTCTATTGATGAGATGTGTGAATTTTTGATTGAAATGCGAACATGCTGAATAATTGAATATTCAGTATAACCTAGGGCAATCACATGTTCCTGGAGAGATCACTGTCACGAGCTTCCATGATGATTTAATAAAAGGGCGAAAATAAACTACAATCGGGAAATCCTAACTGGATGCTCAGAAAGCTGGACTGAATACTAAAACTTGTTGCTGATCAAATTATTACTTTTGTGTGACGTCAATTTTTTTTATCTGAATGGTTTCGACGATCATGGTTTTGTATTCTTCAATAGAAAAACGTAATGTAAAAGGTCGTTGCCGCCTACCTTATTCTTCTCCTGTTCTTTAGATATTTTGAAATTTCACATCCGTACGTGGAGCATGTCCTCCGGCAAAAACAGCAGCACGAAGACAGATGACATCGTACAGATATAATCGTCCGCGATGTTTTCCGGATCTCTTTAACTCTGATGCTTTCTCGTTACCACCACCTCTACTTTAATTCAGGTAGTTTTGGTTTTGGTTTAACTCATCGTGTGCACACACACTATCTGATATAGTCTTCGTTGTTCAGCGTCTGGTCAAATGAATCTTACTCAGTGAATATCAGATATTGGTGGTCAATTAACCGGTCTAGTTTACAAAGATGATAGTATTTTACTCAGACCGTCCACCGCTTGTACACATTGTTATATATATATTTATATATCGGAAGCATTTTAGAGCACTGTTAAGCTCTTGAACAGTGCATTTTTGTGTACCTTGTTCGGGGACGCATGTGGTCTCGCAAACATAATGCACAAACTCTACTCATTTGGGGTATAAGGCAGTTATTTAGGTTGATCTACTTTAGCATAGTACAGCACAATTTATCTCTATACTTGTTCCATGGGTAATCAACTTAGTGTTGTCCTACACGTTTATGAATCAGCTGTAAATCTTCTGATCCGAACTCGCTGTACTTGGTTATCATTCTGTTGTATTTAACAGAATGGTTTATCCATGCTTGGAATTTCGGTCCGCGCCGGTTCACGTCTTTTATGCAATGTCCCAGCCTAACTTCCTCGGTAATCGATGCACACGTGTCTAACCGAGTCTGCTTTCTTGCATAATCGGTTCACGCGAGATAGTAGCAACTTTAATAATCATATTAGTGTTGTCAAGTGTGTGCGAAATGCAACACCTGTCTTTGAACAGGTGCAACAAATCCCTTGAATGCCTCTGGGCACATGTGTACGCAAAAACGTGTGTGGGTTGGCAAGCAGACATAGAATAACAAATGAAGGGAAGACTTCTGTGACTGTGAATTCAAATTATTTTCAGTAATAAAGAGAACAATTGAATTCGAAAAACTGTCTAACCTGTGAAGCTGCAGTTCTTCTCTTTGTTCTTCTCCTAATAGAGATTGTTCTGTTCTTTTGATTTTGTCGTGCTCACTTGTTCCGTTACCAGTATCAATTTTCACGTCAAATCTTTAGACCGATTTGCAACATGGTCCTCTGTTTCCTTTTTACATTTAACGCGACTCCCGTAGGATTGACGTGATTGGCACTTTCGATGTTGTTCTACCTCCAAATGTGATGCTCCTCTCTGTCGTCGATTTTTATGCAAATGTTGCCGCATTTTACCTGACTCTGGGAACCTCACTTCTTCCTCTGTCAAACAAATAAATCGCTTATCATTCGTTCAAAGGTTACTCTCCAACAGGGATAAACAATTAATCCTAATGTGAAATGGATTTGTAATGTTCAACTTACTGGAATTTTGTAATTGATTCAAAATCAATACCAGTTAGATACTCCTGGTGTTTTTTCGCCCTAATGGTGGGCATTTTCGGTGTGTTGTTTTATTTGGAATGTTAAAATACTTTCATCCTCAAAGCGAACACCTGCACATCGTCCACCTTTCCATGCTCTTTTCGCACGTTCTGGGCAAGGCTGAAAGAAATGTCTCAGGGGTCATACCATGACAGTGTAGAGATACGAAGAAGTTAGCTACAACTTTGGATTCGATTGAAGCGACCCGCACTACAGTTGGGGCCCAANTAGAGACGCTGAGAGATATAGTATAGAACAGAAGTCAGTGGCACGAATTTTGTGAGGTTTGCCTGTTGAAATCCTCTACCCCGTAGAAGAACGATAGACGAAAGCAAGAAATATCAAAAAGTGTACTGTAAAACAAAAAGTTCTTATCTACTGTTATCCATTGTAACTGTTTAACCTCTATTTCACTCTGTTCTGTATCCCAATCCCCAATTCTTTGTTATTATTATTGTTGTTGTGGAGTTTACACCATGCTTTCTCGCAAGCCGGTGTCAAGTACGTACCCTTGAAGCTTATTTAGAACTTTCCTTACAATTTCGCAATCTGTGCTCATGGAGGTTAGCCTATTCCTTCGAATCTCAGTTTATTCAAATATTACTTTCGAGCTTTGAGTTTTCAATTTCGAAAAATTAAAAATATTTCCTGATGAGCTACACAAGTTGAACAGTTAGTGTACGGATTGGTCTTTGATTTATGTGGTGCATCTTTGATTCTTATCCTCTCGTTGTGACTTTTATTCTCCTACTATTCGCCCTTGAATCTATAGAAATCAGTCACATATACAGTTGAAAACCATCAGTTGCTAACGCTGGTCAGGGCCACGGTGATCAAATGTCAACCAAAAAAATATTTGTTCCCTTTTTTATATTGAAGATCAGTGTTTACAAATTTTCGACCTTCATAAATAAACTTTTTTCTGTTGTACTGCCAGTTGAGAAGCGGCAAAATAAATCCTGCCTCTCATTCTGTGTTTCCTATCGAAATTCCTTTCGGGAAAGAAACAACTGCAGTTAATCCCCATAGGTATACATATTCTTTTCCAGTTAAAAGCTTTTTTATCTCAAACCATGAAAAAAAACAGTTCTCATTTCAGTGAAAATCTGTTTATTGGAATATTCCTGTGCGGGCATTTTGCACTGCTGAAAAACCATAGTTTTGTGTATCAGTTTTGCGCGAATCACAACGCTTGTACACTTGTGTGTACTCTGTCTTTACAAGTTTTGTTCATATGCGTTATTTAGTCTGTTTACCTGTTCGGTGGTTGTTCAAGCCACATTAAACTACGAACCCACAACCTGGAGATGACCTCAACGAATTATGTAATTCTCCGTTAAGATAGATTCCCTGGCGTGACATCAAAGTTGTTTGGAATCATGTTTTTTGTTCCTAAGTGAAATATGGCGATCGCTGCTGGATTACTGACTATCGATACCCAGTGAGCCTTCGTATTTGAAACCAAACAAAAGTTACGATTTCTGCTTTTCATCATGCAAGCTCCTAGATCACCTCCACAGATAACTTTTCACCTAATAAATGAACTGTTTATTGCTCAGCTAATCCAATTTTCCTATCTTTTCCCTCAACTTTTAAATTTGTTCTGTCATTTTCTCCAGGTCGTTCAATTCCTAACTCCCCGGCTAAATCACTATCTCCAGAAAAGCCATCGGTTCCCTTAAAATCGTACACTGCTACAAAACCGTCTCGTCCTACCACTACCCCTCTATCTGATTCCTCTGGGAAACCCAGCCCCAGCAGTGCTAAAAATCCTGGATCCGTACTCGTAAAACCATCTGTTCGGGTCCGGTGTCCGAATATGTCTGGTGATGAGTCTTCCACACTACTCTTGCATCCGTGTCCCACTCCAGATGACGGGCAAGCAGACTCACGACCACCCGGATTAAGTCAACCAATCCTACCTCCTGATGATGAAGATCCTGAGGAATCAGAAGCGGCTCAGTGGTGGTACACATTCTGGTCCAGTTCCTTAGCCACTATTGCCACATGTTGTGATCTGGT